ATCATCATCATCATCATCATCATCATCATCATCATCATCATCATCATATCATATCATAGCACATGAACCACAAGACGATTGACGGTCGATTGCAGTTTTGTAAGGGGTTGGCGGGAAGGGGCGTTGTAGGGTTTTCTGGGGTTGATTCGTTTTCGGAGGTGACTTGATGCTGCTTTGGATGTGGGTGGGCATCATTTTGACCTTGGGCAGAGCGATGCAAGTGGTTTTTGCCCATCGAGGCATTGCGATGGAGTTCGAAGATCTCAAAGCTCTGGGGCTGCTTGCCTCACCTGTTTTCTACATGAAGAAGTCCACGTCAGACATGCTCGCTATAGAAGACATGGCAATGAATCGTGAGTGCAAGATCGGCTTGGAAGGCATTTCCGACAGGAACTTCGTTCAACTTGGAGATGCAAAGGGCATCAGACCAATGAGTGAATCTGCCTTTTTGGCTTTGGCTCGTCACCGCAAAGAGATTCATGTTGGGAGCGGATTGGAGAGCATTTGGGTACTGTGAGTGGGAGTGCCTTTAGAGTTTTTGAAAAAATCTTTGTGCCAAGTGACAGACTTATGGAGCTGATGTTTGATTTTCCCGCTAGCCATTTGATGACATGTCAGGTCCTGATGCCGCGGGCGAGGTGGAGCGCTCACTCAACGTTGGTGACATTCGTTGGATTGGCTTCGTCACTCGTGAGGGGAAAATCGCACGAGCAGACTTTTGTCAATGCTCTTGGGCCCTGCGCTGGTAGGTGCCTTGGTTGGGCTGACGATGATTAGCTTTACAGTGATTTTCCTCAACATGACATCCAGCCCACATCTAGCAGACTTGTACACCAGCGGCATCACTTGGCCGCCCTTTGGTCCAAAAGCCAGAAAGTACTGGGCTGGGACTCATGTCTCAGAACGAGTCTTTGGGCTCACTGCAGTAGCAGAACCACTTGAGACAACCCGCGTCAGTGTACAAGCTATTGGCAAGCCTATGTTGAATAGCACTTCTGCTGTCATAGTGGAGACTCTCAGCCTCGCTGAGCCCGTGTACCCACAGGAAGTCGCCATCACAGTAGAGGACACTGCTGCCACAGCCTCTTACATGCTTCAGGTTTTCAAGTGGGGCATTTTCCCTGAGTCCATTACCATCTCTGGAGACACCGCCTTCGGCAAGCGGTTCTCCCAGTGCATTCCTTGGGGATACCTCTATTGGAACCATACCGTCCACCTGCCCAAAGGGCTCTTGATACTTGAAATACGAGTTACTTACAGCCACTTTGAAATGTCTTTCCCTTGGAAGAAGCGATCCAACAATTCATTTGCCACTTACTTCGATCCAGCGCTTCCTCGCGAAAAATGCACCATGTGGGCGATTCCTTCTTGGGCGCAGGCGACAGTCGCGCAGGCCTCAGCACATGGTTGCTTCTATGGTCTACAGCCCCGTTGGTCGAGCTGTGGGCAGACTCGCCAGAAGAACACTGAAAGGTTTCTTCAATTCTTCCAGGGCAACGTCTCAGGCAGGTTGTGTGCCTCCACCATCGTTCCAGGTACATCCAACCTGTCTAACCTGGTGTGCAGGACCATGCTCCCATCACCAGCAGCTTTGGCCATCAATGTTTCCGAGATTCTTCCTCAAAAGAGCAAGGATACACAGGCTAAGTTTACGATGCCCTTGCGGATGCCGTCAGGCTCTATTGATTTGGTTGGTGACGGTTCCTTGTATCAGCCCCGATTTGGTTTCACATTTACTTTGCGCAAAAGGACCGTAGCAAAGACCTTCCTCGTTGCCACCGGCTTTGCTGAAAGTGTGGTGGTGCATGGAGAAGGTCTCAGATTGACCATCGCAGACTGCGCCGCCTTGGCCCATGCAACTGTCGTAGAGCTGACTGTCTTGTCTGAAGACCTTGATTGCCATCTCGAAAGTCTGTCGTTGGAGAACGGCACGAAGCTGGATATTATTCCCACCGCTCGGAGGGTTTGTCAAATCGACTCAATGGCAGAGATGTGCGAACATGGCTGGAAACCCAGTTCTAGCTTCGCTCTACCTGTGCCATTCTTCCGAGAGCACCTCCTCCTGCGCACTGCGGATCTCCAGCTGGTTGGACAACCTACTTGCAAATCCTTCACGAACTTTGGCGAGCCATTTGATGATTCCGAGAAAATGGCAGTGTCGCTGCGGTTGAACCAGGAAAGATCATTTTGGGCATTCATTTTGGGGCAAGAACTGCATGTAGAGCCAAGCTCTGAGTCCTGTTGGAGGTCGCCAGAGCTGTGCGTCATTGATTTCCACCAAGCCTGGGCATCCAGTTTGCACAATGAGTCATCAAAGGTATTTGTGACGGTTGCTGCACCGGAGGACTACAACATCAGCTGGAAGCGGGTGATCCAAGTCTATCAGGGACCAGATTTGTTTCGAGAAGAGAAGGCTCTTCGTGCAGAGCGGGAAGCAACAACAACAGCACATTTGTGTGTAGAGCCTTCCCTAAAGGTGACAAAGGAATGCGGAGGTGCACTCAAGTCCAGCACGATCCAAGCTATGTTCGACATATCGACTCTTTGCCTGAAACACAGCTATGCCGGCTGTGCCTGCTTTTGTTTGTTTTTCTTATAGGCTCTGAAATTGCTCGTGTTGTGTTGGGTCGAGATCAGCTGTGCCATGTTGCTTTTGTTATGTGTCTTTGTCTTTGTCCTGGACTCTGGACTGCGCTGAGGATCAAATCCGATATTCGATCATTGAGGTTTGAGGCCAGCTTTTCCTGCAGCGACAGCTTCTTTCGCCAACAAAGCGTGGTCTTGGAAATGACGCTCGCCAATTGGCTATAGGTCGATGTGCTGCCGCAGGTTGGTCGATGTGGGCAACCTTTTTCACTTTGATTGGACATGCCCCTTGCTGGACGGTCCGGCTCGCAAGTGAGATTTGCGTGCTCGACGACGTTGGATCAACTGAAGTTGGTGCCGCTACGGGCAAAACACCGTGCCTTTGGCATGATGAGTCTTGTGCACATTTGGCACTGCTTCAAGGGGCGTGGTCGTGACTCTTCACTGATCTAATCAAGCATGTTGGGCAGCTTGAGAGCAAGATGAAGTTCACTTCCGAAAAGTGAATATACAAGTTGCATCCTTGAGCCAGGCATCAGCGCTTCGCCCACCTCTGGAAACGTCCCTCGGCTGCGCCATGCTGCGCCATGAAACCAGAGAATGAATGGTTCTCAGTGGGGACGACATCCGAGCGACGGATACTCCTGGAATGTTGGGGGATGGGATGTTGTTCTTCTTTGTGCCATGGTGTTGAAATGGGGGAGACCGAAGCAGAGCTTGAACATTTCAGTTCGAAAGAAATTGTGTTCTTCCTGGTTGTTTCTGTGAATTTTTCTCTGAGTTCACTTGAGGGCATTCATGACACCTGAGCAATTGAGCGTGTGGTCTTTCAGTACCACAAGAGTTTCTCTATCCTGACATATCCTGACGACCTTTTGCATGTTGTGCATTTTGACACTGTGCGTTGTTTCGAACCGCACCTTTCGGCAAGAATGGAGAGGGATATGGAAAGCCAAACAGTGTTTGTGCCTCAAACGGAAACGTGTGAGTATGCCACATACATTTAGAAGGTGGTATGACAGACACCTCACCGAAGCTTCAAGAACCAGCAGTTTGCCCCGCATCTATGTTTGGCGATGGGGCATACATGGTGTCACAACCGCCAGCACGTCATGGTTCACAACACACTTGGAACCAGTTTGCAGGTATGTACACTGACGCACGGACTGGTGGAAGTGGAAGACCCTTTTGCTTCTAAAGGAAGGGAGTCTTCCTGGGGTCCGCGTCCATTCAAGCTGCACGTTGCTTGCAGCATGTTTGCATCCCAGAATTGTTTCAAAGGGAAGTCTACAGGAAACCTATCGTTTTGATTCGTTTTGGAGGTGAAAACCATGGCTCCCTGTGGGTGTTCAATGATTTTCCATTCGATTGATTGCAACAGCTTGGCCTGTCGCCGCTTGCATCGCACTCAGGCGGATTCGCAAGAACGCGGAGACTTGGCGAATTCGCCCCTGAGCGTGGTGCGCACTGCGAGGTTATCACCTCCAACGTATAGTGATGGCCTCCAACCTAGTAGCGATGGCCTCCAACCACGGCAGTTGAGTTGTCACTAAGACCTTTGCAAGTTGACGACTTTTGTGACTTGCTTTGTGCTTTCTGTGGTGCGCGTATATCGCCGTATGCCCAAGCGCCATTGGCTGATTTTGGCATGAAGCTGCTTTGATCATATCAGCTTTGTTTGCGCTGAGAGGTTGTAGCTTTGATATGTTTTGATTATTTTTGGAAGGGGTTTGATATGGTTTGACTCTATTTCACCCACAGACCCTTTGTGGCACAATGGGCCATACTGCCGCTTCCACGCATTTTGTTCTGAGCCATCCCCTCCTGAGGGGCCAAACTGGAGAGGATGCTACAGGATACGGCAGGACCACTACCGGCCCTTCATAGCTCTTGATAGGCCGATAAGTTGATAATAAATTGATCACTCATCAAGGTGGATTCGATTCCCACCACTGCCACCATTTTCAGTGAGTGGCTGAGTATTTTTGTTCGTTTAGTTGTGCAGATTTGTATCGAAAAGGATTTTCAGCAAGGGTCCACAGATCTCATCCAACTTTCCGCTACTAGGAAGACATGGCACAATGAGAGGCAGACACACAATTGTCCTACAACTTCCAGCGACCCAACTCAGAAAACCACCATGTCGACTGCGCCAAAAACCACTCCGTTCGACGCTCCCACGCTCCCATGGAGTCCTTCGTCCAGAAGCGGCCGATCTCGTCCTTTGCGTCGCGCGACACGGCCCTGCCCTACTTGGCCATCTATGTCGCTGGGCGTTCGGCGGTGGCGAGTTCTTTCAGACCAGGTTTAAAGACGCACAGCTGCCGGCGCCAGACTCGGTCCATAAGTCGCCGGCTGGTGCGTGTGCTTATTGAAACATAGACCAGGAGTCACAGAGCTCGGGGTGGTGTTTTGTCCCTAAGTGAGTGGATAGTGAGCATCCCTAACCTCCATGGATAGCATCCCGACATGTGACTGCTGGTCCATTTTCCTTTACGAAGCCGACGTGGTAAAATCAGGTCTTTCTCTGTGGGTTGAGGTTTTGGGTGTGCACTCCGACTCACCAACATGGAAGTGGATGGCACTTGACTGCTGTGAAGGACCCTTGTGAAGGACACTTTTCCTCTACAAACAGGTGGTGTTCCATTTCCCATGCACTCCCTGGGACTGCCAGGACGGACTGCCGCCCCTGGCACCACCCACCACCACCCCGGTCGGCCGTTTTGGCAGTCCGACATGGCAGTCCCAGCCACGTCGCGTTTGGGTTTCGTGATGTGTTCGCTCCGGTTCGTGTCGCGCTTCGACATCGGTACCAGACGAGTCGGCCCAGTCGATGTTCCGTGAAAACATGGACGTCGTGGGGGGTTGTGACCTCTTTCATCAGCTTTAAAGCACCTGCCCTAGGGCTCCAGTCGTACTTCCTCAGAAGGTGTTTGGGGTGGGTGCCAGGAGGGTCCAGTCATACCTTCTGAGGAGGTACGACTGGAGCCCTAGGGCTGGAGCTTTGGATCATGGCCTTATGAATGGAAGATCATTGAAGACCATCCGCTCCGCGGTCGTCGTTCATCGCCATCCGAACTGGCCGGCGTTGGTTGAGCCACTCGACAGGTGCTGAGTGGCGCGTGTCAACCGTTGCTGATGTGCGAGGTGCATGCTGCGGGCTTAGGCGATGCCCGGTGCCAGCTCTACATGGCCTTTTGGGCGACAGATGGGATCAACACGAGAGCCTGGTAGGGGGTGGTTCTTGGATGTTTGATTTTTCAGGGTCTGTCTACCCTGGAGGTTGCTTGGAGTAGAGCATGGTCCATTTCCATAATAATATAATAATGCATGTTGACCATGCCGTGCCCCAATGCCAGACAAAGTTGCGTCTTGAAGTGACAGGTCAGAAGTGCATGTTAACATTTGTTTCTTTCACGATCGGTTGACTGCCGAGAAATGCATGTTGACCATGATGGTGCAACGATCTATTGGGTCAACAACAATGCAGCACACCATGGAGCTTCCAGTGCGCAACTGATACCCAAATGTTCCGGTCTTCAAGTCAGATCCTTCGTTTGTCGGGTGGGCCTTGTTTTCCCTGGACATGACCCAGGCGCCCAGAGCCAGAGCCCGGTTCCCACCCCCATGTAGGTAAATCTGCAGTTCTGCCATGAAGCGTTTTGGGGTTTGGGGAGACTCCTGAGAGCGGAAACGACACTGGTGTCGGAGCAAGAGGTGCAACGAGACGGTTTGGGTTTGCCAATGAGGAGTGATCAGGATGGACCCGGGGCAGTACGACTTCGTATCCGGAATGCTCAATACATGCCATGAAGACTCAAAAAGGGGTCGTGTTCACAACGGGGTGGCATCCGTATTGGAAGGAGGTACGAAGATTGCTTCGAAAGAAGCCCACTCAACCAAACATGAGATGAGCCATGAGGGATTTCCTGATTACCCATTCCAAATACATGGACATACAGTGGTTTTGTTTATAACAAAAATCTGTCGGTTGCGGTCATGCGAGCCAAAAGGCCCGGAAAAGCTTTCTCATGCACAGGCAGTTCAAAATACATAGATAGAAGTTGTAGATCCCCACGAAAAATGTACTGGAAACCGTTTCTATCTTTGAAGGACCACTATAAACGCAGACTGCCCAGGTCTTCTACTATTTGGGCATGTCCTTCACTGGTCTTCTGCAGCTCTGCCGCGCTGACGACGCCGGCCTCCCTGGGCTGCAACTCCAAAGCGGGTCACTGAAAAGACACATGGATGTATGGACGCTGCTCCCCTGTGTTTTTGTGGCCTTCTTTGGCATCACTGCGCAAAGCCTCAACTGGGCAGGGAATATGCGAGCAGCTTGGCACATTTGTTGGGCCATTTTTCGGATGTTGGGTTCCATCATGTTGACATGGGCGATTGGAAGAACTTGGCTGTGATGTTTGTAGACTCGCCCTTGAAGATTAACAGTGACCTGAATCACTTGCTTCCAAACGTCCATTTTCAGGTTCCACGTGGGCCTCTTTCCAGGTGAGACAGTCCGTCTTTCACACGCGTTTTCGCTCGGAGCATCAGATGTCGCATCGGATGTCGTGGGGGTCCCAAACTTCGAATGATGACGTCCAATCGATGTCCCGTCGAGTCCGTAACGAAGGGTTGGAATGGTAAGACTCGACGGAAGGGTTGGAACAAATAGATGGGGAATGGTTCCGGACATTAAGTCCGTAACAAATAGAAGGGTTGGAATGAGACTCGACGGATGAATGAACTGAACTCGGGAGATTCCTTCAAAGAACAGTCACCCCTTGACAATGGTGTGATGTGGAATGGCCCCTTTCAACATGCAAATGTGAGTGTTCTGACTGGCACTTGGTGGAACAAGGTGGACATAATTAGACCTTCCAACTGTACAAGATTTTGCTTGTTCATTATTGTTAAATACAAGTCTCCCTCTTATAGTTCAGAAAACCTGTCAACAGTCACTTAAGAATCCGCTGGAGCGAACTGACACACGACACTCCGACACACCTCCAAGAGCTCAGGTTTTCTGTACGTTGCACTCCCTGAAATGAACCCGGAAAACCACCGCGTCTATCGAGGAACATGATCATCCAAGGGGCAAAGTGTCCACGTCCATGATGATTCCGGGGAGCTGACCCAGTTTCAACATCTCACATGACGGTCGTGGTGAGGGGTCGCATGTTCGGGCATCAAGATCGCTAAGAAAAACACCAACACAGACACAC